CCTCTTCTCCAGGCTGAGCCCCCCCAGCTCCCCCAGCCGCTCCTCCCCAGCCTTGGGCTCCAGACCCTTTGATCTATAAATACTAATTTTAACAGAACCTCTTTATTTTAACTGTTTTTCCCCCCAAACTGACTGCTTCCAATACACTGGTGTGAAGCAAAGCTCTGCAAAGCCTTGGCAGCCGCGAGCAAGACCAGCGGCACAGTGGTCAGCACGGAGCGTACGCGGGAGGAGACACCTACCGTAGTTTTCGGATGAGGACACATACGTCAGAATAAGGAGGGCGAAGTTTTCGAGCAGGTTGAGCAGCAGGTTGAAGTGGCACAAGCGCAGGTAGCGAGGGTGCGAGCAGTGGCAGCTCTGGTAGTGGTTCCAGTAGGCGACTGCCACCAGGAAGCGGGGAGCCGAGTGGAGGCCGATGCAGAGGCGCCAGACGTAACGCTGGGGGGTCTCGCCTCCGATAGCGGCGCTGATGGAGGGGAGGTAGTTAGGGACCTGGAAGAGAGACAGCGGCTTGTGGGGAGAGGCATGGGGAGTGTCACATTGTCGTATTTACAGCTCTCCAAGACACTAAAACTGGTTGGGTTTTTTTTGTTTTTGTTTTTTAAATCAGTTTATTCCTATTTCAAAAGCCAGGGAACATAACGTGGCAGCAGCCCTGGTTCATCCCCCAGGACCACGCAGCTCCCAGCCCTGCCAGAACAGTCCCTGGGCCCTGGGGTGCCCTGCTCACGGTCCTGCTCGGGTTTCTTAGCTTTATACTTTTGCCCTTTACTCCTTCCCTTTACTCAGTCGCGGTCCCCCACATGTTCTCTGCCTCAGGTTTGGGGAGAGAGGAGAGGAAGGCGCACCGTTTTGTTAGCCCAAGCCTAATGGAGAGAACTGACAGCAACAGCAGGCAAAGACAGCGTTCAGGGAGGAACATAAAAGTAGGAAAACCATCAATGCAGCCCTGGAATAAACTCCCGACCTCCAGAGTTTCACAGTTTGGGGGCTTCCCGAGCCAGCCACAATTGCTATGCACCAGGTAATCCACTCTTCCACGATCCTGCCCGGTCTCCCCTGGAGCCCACGCAGAGCTGCGCACCCTCAGCGTCCTGCGGAGAGGCGTTCCCCAGGTGAGCTGCTCTCTGCTTGAGGAACCAGCTCCTCTGTGGTTGCCTTGAACCTACCACCTCCATACGACGTCGCCTACCCCTCGTACTGGCAGAGGGCGAGCGGTGGATCCCCGCCTGCCCTCTCCAGGCCAGCCACGACCGCAGAGGTCTCCATCTCGCCTCTCTCTGCTCTCAGCCCATTGTCTCTTCCCGCCTGCAGCTGAAGAGCCCTCACTTCACCACCCCAGGAACAGGGGCTGTGTGACATCTCTGAGCGTGCTTGCTGCCCTGCCCCATGCACCTGAGTAGCGAGGAGGGGGCAGAACCGCACACTGGGTGCGCGCATTACTTATTTCTCCAAATCGAACTGCCCTGACATCTCCTTGCTCCGTCGCCGAGTGCCTCCTTGCAGCGTGCCTCGCCCTCCCTGCTCCAGGATCTTGGCATCGCCATCAGCCTGTGTCACCCCACCACGTACAGGCACGAGGAACACCACAGACCCCATAAAGCCCTGGGGTCATCTGCCGGCGTGAGAATCGCCACCTACTCCCGCCCTCTGTTCCCAGCCTGTAACCAGCTGCTTATCCACGCTTGTGCCGTGGCTGCTCGAAAGCCCTGGGGAGGAACCCAATCTCATCCCTTTTGGAAGTCCGGGCGGTCCGTCTCAACCCGAGCTCCCCAGGCGCGTGCTTGTGACTCCTCTGAAGAACTCCAACAGATCTGAGGGGCAGCAATTCCTTTTATAAAAGCTGGGCTAACTTGTCCACAAGACGGTATATTTATCTATAGCTTCACCAGATTTATTCCACGTCATAATCACCAACAACGTGCTCAGTACAGACATCAGCCTGACCAGTCCGTACTTCCCTAAAAGGAGCCGAAACCTCAGGTGCCAGTCCCGAGGCATCACAAGTACAATCAAATAAAGCAGCTTGTTCCAAATCCCATAGCACATCTGGTGGGAAAGCCTGGAAGAAGAGAGGACCCCTGCCGCCCCGCCAGCTGCCCCAGCCCAGCAACCACAACCTTGGAGGACTTCGCATTCTGCTGTGAGAGTCGCTTACCCCGCAGTGGGTCGCTGTCGTCTCCTGGAAGTGGAACAGCAGAGACCAGATCACACAGAAAAGGAAACCGAAGAGCGGGCAAAACACAGTCCCGACGGCCAGCGTGGTAAAACGGAGCCGGAAGAGGATCCCGTCTCGATCCAGGGGCAGCGGTACCTGTAACATCTTGGTGGACCTGAAAACAAAGAAGCAAACGTTTGATGCGGATTCTCTGTCCTCCTGCAAAGTCCAGCCCCACACAGCCCTGGGCGGGGATGCACACCTACGGCTGGCAGACAGCCTCACGCCAGTGTTTAACACACGGCCGCGCAGCCCCAGGGCGGGCATCAAGGACAGGCAGCTCAAAGCACCGTCTGCCCAAGGCTCCGGTACAACAGGGAGCTGGGTCAGAGCAGCGGCCTGCACGCCGTGGGGAGGAGCAGGCAGCAGGACGTGCAGGCAGCGGGACATCCCGCGCTGGGGCTGTGCTCTGCTCTGGACCACGAGACCCATCTGGCTGGAAAGGCACGTCAGCTCTTTTCGGCAGGGCGCATCTATCCAGACCGTTCCCGGTCTGCGCTCGGAGCTGCCGCACGGGACAGCGCTGACGTAGCCGGGGCGCTGCGTGCTGCCTGCCGGTGCTGCGGCTCCTCCAGCACATCCCCAACCACCTGCGGCACCGTCCTCGCTCCGCTACCACCGCACTGCAAGCGCACCGCAGCCCCGCATCCAGCACCGTCCCAGCCGAGCGCTCAGCACCTTTACGGGCAAGGCTCCGGCTGCAGGATCAGGACCTTGCAAGCCCCACACCTTGCACAACGATAAAGCCATTGCTCATCGGGTCAGGCAAGCCAGGACAAGCCGTTTATCAAGCCTGGCAGCCCGCCTCCGGCTCAGGGCTCTCCATCAGCTCAGTCCCAACGCTCGCTGGCTGCTCTCTTGCCCTCAGCCACAGCTGTTCACCTTAAACCTTCTCACGCGCCCATGGCTGCAGCCCAGCTGCCCTCAGACCGCCGGGGTCAAAGCCACATTAAATCAGTCCCCATCATCACACGCGCCTTCCTTCGAGCTCTCTCCTCCTGCGGCGCCTGCCCCTGACCTCTCCTGTCCCAGCAGGCTCCCCCCTGCCCGGGGACAAGGGCCACCGAGCAGCCAAAACGAGGGGCTGCGACGCCCTGCTCTGAGCAAGCAGTTAGGGATCTCTGCCTCACCTCGCTCACCGCTCCAGGACAAATCCAATTTACAGACAATCCTGCAGAAGCCAGTTACCAGCGAGGGCAGGAATGTGGGCAGCAGCCCCCCTCCTCCAGGAGCGTAACCCCCCCCCCAGCGCAGGGACGATCCCGCACAGGGCCGTGCCCACCCGAGAATGCTGCTTTACAGGCGGCTGCTGCGGGGATTTATTCGCAGGATGAAAGCGAAGCAAAAGGGCAGCTCTACCGTGGCTCTGCCGGAGCCCTTTGGGGCCGGGACTGCAGCAAGCCGGACGGAGGAGCGGGATCCCCCAGCCAGCCCCGGCTCACCTGCCCGGGACCCCCGCCGGCAGCGGCCCCAGCCCCGGGGGGACGCCCCGAAGGGCAGGACGGGGCTGTCGGAGGCAGCCACGCTTCCCGCGGAGCAAGGCCGGCGCTGGGGGCTCGGCTGTGGGGGATGCACCGTGTCACGGGGGCGGAGGGGGCACGTCCACCCCGCGGGGGACAGCCTCACGGCGGGGGGGGACAGGGGGGCCCTGCACCCCCCC